ATGGCTGATCCAATATGGCAGTTGGTTGAAAAACCAACATCTGATTCATATATAATCAGTGACCCAGAAAACTTCCGAGTAACAAATTTAAAATAAATGTAATACAGTACAATTTCGGTAAGTGTAAATTGAATTTTAATCTAATTATATATTAAATTATTATTTAATCTTTTATATCCGAGAAGAATTATACATTATAGATTAATAAGCATTGGAAGACACCGTGATACGGCACTGTCTGCCGCCCCACCACAACTCAAGGGGCAATCCGACACTTACCGAAATTGTACTGTAAATTAAAAAATCGACTTTTTGAATTTTGTACGACATATTGGATCCACCATTTTTAATTTTTAAAAATTGACAACATTAATAAAGCAAAATTTAAAAAATGCTGTTTTTTACAGCCCCGTTATTGAACTCTCTATTATGTTGTATATTTAAATTAACATTAAGTTACAGGAAAAATATAAATCATACATAATAATTTTTTTTCTATAACTTTACTGGGTATAAATTTTCTTTTAAATATTCGTCCTTAAGATATAGTTTATTAAATATTTATATTTCTACTATAAATCATATATTATTGATATATAATTTATGTATTAAAAACCTTTCTCATTGTCTTTTTACCTTTTTTCTGACCTTCACAATATATCTTTAATTTACACACATCGAGTGAAAAGTCTGAATAATGATATCAATATCTCATTAATTAAAAGTGATACAATTTTTACACTTTCCGGTTTATTGCGCATTCATATGAAAAATTATCATCACATTCTCATGTATTTTATTTTATTTTCAATTTTATAAACGATTTACTACATTTTTCATTAGAATACCGTTTTTACATTTTTTTTAGACAAAAAATATAATTTTAAAAACTTTTGTTATTGTTTATTAATTATTTCTATTAGTATTATAATTAATTTAAATATAATATAAGAGAAAGAGATTTTCTAACGGTCCTAATTAATTATTTTATTGAAATTATAATGCGCAACGATTACATAATTTTGTATTTCTATTGTTATGTAAGTGTCAATGATATGTTAATTTTTTTATTTAATTATAAATATTGTTATTGTAGGGGAAAAAATTACAACTTATCATTTTATCAATGTTAAGTATATTGTTATCTTTGTTATAGATAAATCTTAAAAGAGTTTGCGTTCTATTGAAGACTAGTTTTAATCTGATAAATATCGAAAATTTTCATAATCAGAAAAGAAAACGATAACAAAACATAATAAAAGTTGACACGCATTGAAATTTCTAACAATAAGTCTCTGGAAATTCTTTTATTTTCTGATTAATAATCGATAATAATGAGAAAAGATAAAAGACGTCATTTGGGACATACAGATGATATATATATATATATATATATATATATATATATATATATTTGCGCGATTATTATATTTATTATTTGTAATGACGAATCAACTTCGTCACAAATTATTTCTTCTTTTTTTAATCATAAATTAATATATTTGATAAATTGTTATTAAATTGGGTAATATATATATTATCATTATCTAATTATGTCAATTATATATAGATCTCACAATGTAAATATGGTATCGACTGTTAATAACAATGATAGTAATAATTATTAATTAAAATTTTTATTTTTTTTTAAGTTTAAAACTAAAAAAATCGAGCCATAATTATAATAAATAATAATTAATTGTGGTAAGTAGAATTACATAAATTAATATAAAAAAAAAGATAAAATAAAATTAATTCTATATAAATAACAGTAAAAGTGAGAAAAGAATAAAAATTTTCTATTAAAAATTTATTTAAAGCGAAGAAATTGAATTTTGCATCGTTCTTTATATATGGTACATTAATTATTTATCAATTCACTTTTTCATTAACACCAACTGCAGATTCAGTTTTTCATTATCTTTGCAATGAATCGCTTTTACATATATACATATATTTCTAATTTCTTAAGAGAGCAAATGAAATGATTCATATATGCAATGCAAAGCTAACAATATTTATCGACAATAACATTCAAGTGTTTAACACTGCTATCACTTCATTATTAAGAATATTATTTATCTGAATTGTGATTAATGTAAATATTCATTTTTCTATTTTGAAAATTTTCTAAAAAAGGTGTGTTTTACTAGTGTTAATTAAAAATGAGATTTTGTCGACAATCGAAAATGGGTAAATATTCGATCATTCTTTTTTTTGTAAATAAATTATTGTAATTAGTTTTTTTTAAGTAAATGAATGGTAGATTATTATTTTTTTAATTTAATCTCTCTTGTTTTTCCTTGAAGAAATTTTTACACACATATCCTGGACAATGTAGAAATTAAACCAAGAACAAATAGTGTTTAGTATTTCTATAAATAAATGATAAATGACTCTATTAAATTAGGTGCAATCAATAAAAATTATAATTTGATAAATTATTATAGATAATCGATATTGTATCGCCGATTTACAATAGTCACAATAATCGATAAGAAAAAAGAATTGATAATCGACTATTATTAATTAATAAACGATAATCGATAATAAGTTATTGATAAACGATAACCGCTAATCAATCAATAATAATCGATAATAAATAGATAATGATAATGATAAATAATTAAATCGATAAGTAACAATTAAAAAATTGAAAACTATTTAGCTACCAATAGCTTAATAATTAACTGTTGTTCACAACATTTAGAAAAAAAAGAAATTCCTTTTATTGTTTTTCTTTTAATTTCCCTTGTTTGCTAATTATATCAATCAGGTCTCCTGAGCCTCGGCAAAACTAGAACATTTCCATGATCAATCATAAAATCCATAAGGTCATTGTTCAAGTGTGTGAACAAAAAGTGAAATTTTCTTCTTTACTGAATTTTATTTTCAAAAAGATGTATTCAACAATATCAAAATTTAATTATTATAGCAAAGAAGCATGATTAGAAAACGAATTTTTTAAATTCCAATTTTTTTTATTAGAACAATCGTAAATATTTGATTCTATATTTTAATAAAATTTATTTTTGTTTATTACTAAGTCAGATGAAAATATATTAGATTCGTGGTAAAGGCTTTTGTCATCGCAGGAGTATAAAAAGACTTTTATCAAGAAATCTTATCATTAAGAATCATAACAATAGAATTTTTTTCGGTTACTTTTTCTCTAATTTTTACGATTAATTCAAGATAATTGTTTGTTTATTGACATTTATTGTTCATTATAGATTGTTATGATTATTATTAATTGTCGATTATCTTGAACAATTACACTTCTACACCTTTTCTATTCCAAAACGGCTTTCAGAATCATTTGACAGCGAATTGGTAGTCCAGTTGAAATTCTTTTGATTCTCGCAGAACTTGATCATAATTATCATATTTTTCTGAATCTTTTACAAGCACTCTGCCTCTTTCTGACTCCACTTTGCAAGCTTCTCTAAATGCAGAAACGGAGTCGCTGACCGCTCTTATCGACGCAGCTTCGTGTTTCTGCTGATTTGCTTTCTCTTTTTACTTTATTTCTTCTACAATAATCTGCAAATTAATGTACAATTGTATTTCTCCAGATTACAAAGAAGTACAATAAAAAAAAATTTTTGTTTAACCCTAAATCTGAAAAAAATGCAACAACTTTTATAGAAAAAGAAGCTTCTCATAAATAATCTCTTGAAGATTAACTAAAAAATGTTAGACTAACTGAAAAATCTCTCTAATTAGCTATGGACAATTAAATAATTTGGTACTTTTTTAAAGATACAAGTTTTTACCAATGAGTCACAATCGTGTAACATACATAAATTATTTCATCTTTTCAAATCAATATGTCTATTTATTTATTAGTTAATCAACCGAAATGATCAGAAGACACAGTTCCCAAGATTGGAATAGTACCTGTCAATAGTCAATGGCCGTTTATCTTATTTCTCAAGTGTCATCGGAAAATATATACTTGAAAAAGTTGTGGAGATTTAAAAAAAAAAGCATAAAGAAAATTTACACAGTGATGTGAGAGTTTATCGTTGTATAACAAACCTCCCAATCGAGATATCACGATTGTAATTGTCCGTAAATTTCCATCTTTATTTCATTTCACGCGTCTCCAATTGGTTGAGTTGTGAAGTCCTGCAAAAAAAGGGAAAAAAAAATTGAACCTTGATTTTACAGACATATATATTGTCACGCCCCTCTAATAAATATCCCGTTGTAACGGCGATTTTTCTCTAATTGAGTAACTCACCTCGTCTATTAAAGTGGTGAACATTTATATATCTTTAATTGACAAACTGCATTTCAAACGTATTTTCTACGCGATTAAAAAAGTATTTCACCATCAAGGAATTTTATCTTGTTTCTTGAAAATTAGTTGCATTTTCTTTAGAAAAAAAGGAAAAATTGTAAATTTTTCTTTTTATAATTAAAATTTGTTAATTGTTATAATTATTAGTATTTATTATAAATTATTAATGATTCATTGTTTATAATCACTGTCGATTCTTAGTAATAAATTTAAAAAAAGTTAATTTGCAAATTTTTTATAGAATTTTATTCTCATTAAACTTTATTAATTTATTGTTAAATTGTGAATTTTGTTTAACTATTGAAAATTGTTTTTAAAATTGACAAGAAGTTTACGTAAGTTACAATATTGTTTATATGAAAGTTTCTAACACTTGGAATTGTTATAAAAAAAATTTTTCCGAAAAACAATTTGTGTAATAAGAAAAAATTAGAAAAACTAGTTGCAAAAAGATTGTACACTACGAAAAAAACAGAATATTGTTCACAATTATAAAATTTTTACCGAATCATAAATTTTTCATTTAATTATTTTACCTTTATTTAAAGTAAATTAAAAAAAAATACTTTCAAATTAAAATTATTTATAATTATTAATTATAATTAAAGTAACTTTATAATAAATTTGATAATTAAAACCTCTAATTAAAATGAATATAATAAATTGAATTGTTAAATTACTTAAGTTATTTTATTAATTAAATTCATAAAGTAAATATAGTCTAATTAATTGAATTAAAAAATTACCAAATTAAAATATTACCGTTTTAAAATTTACAATAATTTGTTAATATTATTCGCATTGAAGAATAAACTTCGCAAAGAAAATCTTTTCCATAAATTAATAAAATAAAAAATAAGATTTTTCTTTCAAGAAAATATTGTTGATTTTTAGAATATAAAAAGTGAAAATAAAAAGTGAAGTGAGAATTTCTTTTTTTTGTGGTCATTCTTAAAAAAAGGAGAGGGAGGAAAAAAAAAGTTTTATCAAATTTAATTGTGGTGACATGAAATTAGAAAATTCTTGAGAATATTAAATATGCAAGGGGGTTGGAAGAATTTTATAAAGCCACTGTTGACTGTAAGTCATTGGTTGTATCGTTTACGACGACAAAGTAGTAAGTCGTTTTTTTCTTATTATCAGTGAAATAGATAAATTTCATAGTAATTATTTTTAATTGTTAATTTTTACTATTTTTCTTGTTACATAAGTAGAATAATTATATTTTGCATTGTCGTTAATGTTTTACTGAAAAAATGTTTTTCTTCACTATTAATGAAGAAACATTTATAAGTGATCTTTACGAACAAATAAAAAATTATTTTATTTTTTTTCAATTATTTTATTATTGTTTTTACTAATATTTATTACTATTCTTTTTTATTATTTATTATTCTTAAAAATTTAATCTTATTGAATAATGTAAATAATGCAGGAAAATAATTTTATACGCGTGTGTTAAATGAAAAAAGCTGTGAATTTAGTTTTAAATAAAATAAAAAAATGATGTTCCGATTTTTGGAAATTTCAGAATTTTTTAAAGATGTAACGGGTATGTTTTTCAAAATTACACCCTTGGGATTTTTTTTATTATCCCATTAGCTAAAATAATAGTAAATAATTTAATTAAATTATAAAATTAATAAGCAGTAAAATTTTATTGATTAAAATAAAATTTCATTTATGAATTAAAAATAAACAAAATTATGATTGGAATGATTTTATGTCGCAGAAAGTGAAAATCAAGTCGATTGTCCTGAAGGTCCTGCAAATTTTGAACGTGCTATTTTAGAAACTGGTAATTATTTTTAGTGCATTTATTATTATTTATTATTATAATTAACAATTTGTTTATAAATTTTATCTGGGAAATTTTTCTCAATGAAGAGAAATTTGAAATTACTCAATTATAACAGTAAATCACTTAGCATGTGTACCAACCACCTAACTGAAAATTTAAATAATGGCGCGAAATTCAAAATAGGAATAGAACAAAATTTTGTTACTCTCACTGTAATTTAATTACACTATATAATATTATTATTATTATAAATAATGCTTGTATTCCAGGTTATGGAAAATTTAACATTTTATTGCTCTTGGCATGTTTGCCCGCGGCATGGGCCAGTGTTTTTTCATCAACATCCATATCATACGTGTTACCATCCGCGGAATGCGATCTTAAACTTTCAATGTTCGATAAGGGTTTACTCAATTCTATGTCATTTGCAGGTGTGCTCAAATTTTTATAATAATAATAATAAATTGAAAAAAAAGTTTATAAAATTAAAAAATTTGTTTCTTAATTAAAAATTGTTAAAAATAAATTAAATTATTTTGAAAATTTGTCTAAAATAAAATAAATTGAATTGAAAATATTTAAATATTTAACATAAATACTGATAAAAAAAATAAAATCAATTTTTCAGGCATGATTTCGACGGCGTTCGTTTGGGGTTATTTAGCTGACACTGTCGGCCGTAAGAAAATTATGTTTTATGGCTACTTGTGTACCTCAATATTCAGCTTTGCCAGTTGTTTCTCCCAAGTTTCTTGGCTTTTAATAGTATTTAAATTTCTTAGCGGTGTTATGTAAGTGTTACAGGAAAAAAAATTGGGAGCAAAAATTTATTTCTCCTCTTTCACACACATATATATATATTCTAATATACATAAAGAAGTATAGGTACATATATACTTATATAAACTTTATACAAAGTATGCATGTTAAAATTATATATTGCATTTGCATATTTATTTTAATTTTTTAAAAATTTTTATTAATAAATAATCGAATGCTAAAAAATTGTATTTAATTGGATGAATAGTAAAAGTCACATGTGATTGAAATACTTTTTTTAAAATAATAATTTTATATTAAATTTTTTTGCTATCTGACAGAATATCGGGTCCATATGCAGCACTCATGTCATATTTGGCAGAAATTCATAGTGACAACTTTCGATCGAGAGTTTACATGTGGTTAGGTGTTGCATTTTCCCTTGGAAATATCACATTACCATGTAAATATAATTTTTTAAACAATTATCTAGTTTTATTTATTTAATTATTGAAAAATAGATTTTAATTTAACTTGTTAAGGTTTTTTGTTATTTTCCTCAATTGATTTTTCTTCGATAGAATTTCGCTTTTTATGGTATAAATAAATTAAATTTACAGGTCTTGCGTGGTTAATAATTCCACAATCTTGGAGTGTAAATCTTTTTGATGGTTGGTTACAAATTAATTCGTGGAGAATATTTTTGGCTGTTTGTTCAATACCAGAATTCATGGCCTGCTTGGCAATGTCATTTTTTCCAGAAAGCCCACGATTTCTTCTGTCAAAAAAACGACCAGAGGAGGCGCTCTTGGTTTTCAAGAATATTTATTCTTTAAACACGGGTAAACACCCAGATACTTATCCGGTGAGAGTGTTTTTAAGAAAATATTTTTATCTCTTTTTCTCAATTTTTTTTTTTTCAATTAAAAAGAAAAGTGAAAAAGATTGGATCGATAAATAAGATTTTTTGTCACGGATCTTTTGGCAGAATTTTCATAAAATGATATGCATTTTTTTTTGTTTTTTTTTACAAATATAGATTAAATGTCTCGCAGAGGAACATTGCCTTAAGGAAGCCGAGGAAAATGGAATTAAACAAAGTATTATTCATAGTTGGCAGAAAATTAAACCTTTATTTCAATCGCCAAATGTTTATAAACTTTTTCTCATTGCTTCCATTCAATTTGGCGCGACTGTTGGGTAAGAATTATTATTTTTTAAAACAAAAATATATAGTTGAAATATTTTTGATGAATAATAATTATTTTAGGTCAAATTCATTAAGACTTTGGATGCCGCAATTATTTTCTATGATTGAAACATATAGGGCCACACATCCAAATAGTAAAACTGTGACAATTTGTGAAATGTTGAGCAGCTCAAAAAATATTTCTCATTCTAGTCCAAATAATTCGTCGTCTGAGCCTATTTGCGCAGAGGTAATTTAATTTATATTTTTAATTTTTAATTATTCGAAATGTTAAAGAAATAAAAAATTCGTAAATAATTAAAATTGAATTATTATTATTAATCCAAATTCCAAGTGGAAACACCCACTATGTAGTCTTTTTTAAGAAAATTAAAATCAAATTTCTTTTTTATATGAATGAATATAATTTTTAAATATTTCTTGCTTATAGAATGTTGTAAATTCGACAGTTTACATAAATTCCATTGTAATAGCTCTCACAGGAGTCGTAGGATACTCACTAGCAAGTAGCCTAGTGACAATTATTGGAAAACGTAAATTAATGGGTATGTGTAAAAATACTGTTTTCTAAATAGTAAAAATAACTTATTAGATTTTTTATTTTAAAAATTCTAAAATTCGAGAAATATTTTTTTAAAAAAATTTGTTTCATTTTTTAGCTTTTTGTTTCGTCGCGGGTGGATCCTGCTGTGGAATTTTATTTTGGGCAAAAAATTCCAGTGGAATTTTAGGCATATCCTCAGTATTTGTAGCCTTATCGAGTATTGGAGGCGCTGTCGTTATGGTTATTATTGTTGAAAATTTCCCTACTTATCTCAGGTATTAATAATAATTATTATAATAAAGATTTTTATTTTTTAGTTTGCGATAAAAAAATTGCTAATATTGTTAATTTTAATTTATCATTATTTCTTTTTACAGAACAATGGCAGTTAGTGTAACAATGGTATTTGGACGCCTTGGTGCGGTTGTGGGAAATTTATTATTTCCTGTTTTATTTGCATTGGGGTGCCTTGGTCCTTTCATTATGATTGGAGCCGCATGTTTAGGTATATTATTTTTATTAGCTTTAAAGAAGTTTAAGGATAATAAAAAAAAAAAAATTTTTAATCTTTTAAATTCTTCTTTTAGCATGTGCCGTTCTCACTTTGTTTTTACCAAGAAAAAGAAAAGAGCAAATCGGACCATGAATCATGTGTTCAATTATTCCATAAGACTGATACAAAAATAAAAATCATTTTTTATATGAAAAATCATATTAATTATAATTAAATTTTTAATTTATATTTTCGTATATAAAATTTTTATACTATTAAAAATATCGTTTTTTATAATTCAATTAAATCATGTTAAACCAGAAAAAATGGGAAAAAGTGTTTAAGAAGAATTAAAATCGATTAAAACTTTAATCTATAATTTACAGTACTCAAAATATTTACTGTTAGGGGCCATTCATTAATTACGTAAGGGTCCTTAGGGGGAGGGGGGGTTTATAAAATCTCTACATGGTCTTACGTGGGGGGTAGAAGCTAATCTTACGTAAGATTTTGCCAAGTATTTTCCATTTGTATTATGATGTAATTAATTTTTTAATTACATTAATATTGTTAAAAACTTACGTAAGAAGGGGGAGGGGGGGGGGGTCCGAAAAATCTTATGTTTCCTTACATGGGGGTAGAGGGGGTCAAAATTAGCCAAAATCGTCCTTACGTAATTAATGAATGGCCCCTTATATTATAAAAAAGAAGTTATAACTTCTTAAAGTTTTTTTATTTCTATTAAAAAATTTTTTAATTAATTTATTGTTTACAAAAATTTCTTTGTAGGTTTTACAAATTTTTCGCTTTTTTCTGGATCGAATTCATAAATAAGTGAATTGTAAATTATTTTTTTTTTATAAAAGTAGAACTTTTTTTTACGTTTGTGTATTTTGTGTGAGTGTGTATAGAAAAAATAGAAATTCATAAATACTTATAAAAATCTTATTTAACATCATTCCATTATAATTATTATTCAATTAATTAATTAAAATGAATTAATATTCGTATTTGGAAATGTAAATATTAACGGGCAAAAAAATGAAGAAAAATTTAAAATACTATAAATATATGTCCATACAGTATGTTTGTGTGTTCGACTGAAATTAATATATTATATATACCTATATAGAAAAACTATTTTTTTGTACTTGCGTAATAAATTTTTTTAATTTAATCCTTATGGATTTTTTTATTATGAGTCAAAATTAACAAAAATCATTGCTTTGATGTCAACCCAAAATAAACCAATATCTAAAATTGCTTTATTTTATTATTTTATAAATTTTGAGAGAATAAAAAAAAGAAAAGTAAAAAAATATATTAACAAAATTAGTTTAACAAATGTAAGTTAAAGATAATTTTGAAAAGATCAATTAAAATTTTCTTTCTCCCGAAGAATTATAAGAAATAGATTTCTTCTTTTTTGACAGAGCATATAAGGTAATGCATTGAAACATTTCTAAAGATGGCGACACATTGTAGTAATGAAAATCATTTTAAAATCAGGGACTTTATCTGTTGCATTTGTTAAATTCCCTAGAGCAAAAAGAATTAAAAAAAGAATTATATTAACATTTTTATTATCATTTTCAATAAAATGTTTAATTATGAATAATTTTTTCATTTTCTTACATTTAGAAATTATAAAAATTAAAAAAATAATGTTTATGTAATATGTATATTATAAACAATTCTGTACTAAAAAAAAGAAATATAATTATTATAAATGTTTTAAATATTGTATCTAATCTTCTGAATTAAACTAAACAATGGAAATATAATTTGTTTTTTACACTTGTTATATATACACATACAATCGCAATAAACAAAATTGTTTTCTTTCTTTTTTGTTTAAATGAAAAAACAAAATGAATCTCTTTTACAATTTAATTATTATATTTTTTATAAATATTTATTTTATAAAAAGTATTATTTGAATTTTATAAATAAAAACGGGTTGCTTGTTTAAATATTGCAATACAATGCAATAAATTATTATTATTACAAATGAAAAAATGAAAAAATTGTATTTTTTTTGTAATTTTAAAACAAAAAAAATTTTTTTATCAAATAAAATTCAAAAAATTTTAATTTTTTTTATTTATTTATAAACAAGGGAAATTTTGTGAAATTGGTATCACTGACTGAACAGCAGGCAACTGGTGACCAAGTTAGTGACAGTTCGATTCGGACGAGTGGTCTATTCACATCTATACTACCCAACAAAAAAAACGCGATGACGTGAAATTTTGTAAAATTTATCTCATAGAGTAGTTTTGTAGTTTCCATTAAAAAAATATATATATAAATAATTTAAAAAGTAGTAAAATTAAAAAAAATATTTAAATTATGGAAGAAATTCTTCATAATGGTAATACTGAGAAAATAACTAATGACAACATGAATACCATAAAAATGGTAAAAGAGGTGTGTTTTATGTGTATATTATTTTGTGAATATTAAAAATATATTAAAAAAAAATTGCTTTCATATATCGTGCAAGTGTAAATTAAATCGATAAAACAAACCTAATTAATTATTTGTTAGTGATGATGGACAAATATACAGTTTGTTCTATATACATATTTTGACTATAATTACAGTACATACATACTATGCATCATGTGATTCTGTTTACACATAATATAACATGTAAAATTATTATTTTTTTCTTGTCAACGTCATCATACCATAATACTGATAACATACATTTAACAACAAAAAAGACTATCAACTTTTTTTTTAAATAAACACTATGCATATATCATTGATAAAAATTATCGTTAATTATTAATAATCTTTATTTTCATTTAGTTCTATATATAAGAGAAAATATTTCTTATTACTACATAATTTCGTTTGATTTGAATAATTTTATATGAATTTTTTTTTATTTGAAAAAAATTAAATATTAATAAACATTTTTAATTAATATTTTTATGAATATTTTTGTATATTTGTAATAATTATAAAATGAAATATTTTTAATATAGTAATTTCTACAGAATAAGAGAATCATGAAACTTTCTATTTCGTTATATATATATATAGTATATATAAACCAGTTTTACAATATTCTTAAATATATGCAATCGTTGCAAAACTGGTTCTCATATAGTTTTATTGTCAAATTTTTTAATAATTAATTTAATCCATTACTTAAAAAAATGTTTTCCCTATTTTTTCTCTTTTTTAGAATTGTCTTCTCGATCATATGGAAATTTCTATTATTGAAGCCGAAAAAAGGGCAAATGGAGCGCTCAATTTAAAAGAATTTTACACTGTCTACCTCATTGAGACAAAGTGAGTTACACTTTTGAAAATTTGTTGTTCTTTCTATTTTTAATTTCCATTAGGAACAAATTTGTAAAAACAATTTTTTTTTATTATATTCTTAATATTATTTATAGGAATTTTTTTTTAACAGTAGATATTATTATTTTACTTTTGAATATGAAAATTTTTCATTGTTCGATAATTTTAATACTGAATTTTTTAATGGACACTAATGTTTATTTATTTGTTTTTTAAATAACAAATATAATAGAGTAACGGATCCGAATTTTGAAAATGCCCCAATGAAAGTGAGTTCATTGTGGCGTCGATACACTGAATTTGAATTACTACGAGCATATTTAGAAATATCCTATCCCTATGTGGTGCTGCCACCTTTACCTGAAAAGAAAGTTCTCTACGCGTGGCAAAAAGTTACCACCGATACATTTGATCCTGATTTTGTTGATCGTCGACGAGCTGGACTCGAGGTAATAAAACTACCGAAAAATTCATTTTATGTTTCTTGGTTTTATTATTCAAAAAAAGAACAAAAAAAAAATAAAAATTTTAATTCTCTTTTCTAGAATTTTCTATTGAGGGTAGCATCGCATCCAATTTTGTCATTTGACAAACATTTTATTAGTTTTCTTCAACAGAAAGACGGTTGGAGAGAAAGTGTAAAAGAAACAGGTGCGCCAAAAATAAAAAAAAAGAAAGAAATTTAATTGTTTAAAAAAAGATGAAAATAAATTATTATTTCTATAATATTTATATTTTTTTTGTAATAAATTATCTTTATTTTTTAGTTATTATTAATTACAGGTTATTTACAATTAGCAGAGACCAAATTAAAAGCGTTGAGCGTTGCTGTTAGACTAAGAAAACCTGATAAACGCTTTGAGAATATAAAAAATTATGGAATCGAATTACAGGTATCGAAATATATATATGTATATTTGTTTTTTACTCAAATTTATATAAATTTTTGTTCAATTTTTTTTTTGTTTTAGAATAACGTTTGTAATTTACTGCGAGTTCGTTCAAGATTAGCAGAAAAACAATATAGTTTATATAAATTACATGCAAATTATGGACGAGTTTTTAGCGAATGGAGTGCCATAGAAAAAGAAATGGGCGATGGATTACAGGTACTAAAATAAAAATTAGATAGAAAGATTTGATTTATTGTTAAATTATTTTTTCCGGTAATTTGAATTTACGCGCGTCCTCGATCTACTTTACCGACGGCGCATAGATTCGAAACTCACATGAGAAAAATTTCTATTGATCTCAGACATCAATAATATTATTATTATTATTGTTGATGATGATGTTGCTAAAATAATTTTTGGTACGATTTTGAGAATAATGTTTTCTTTACTGCTTCCTTAGAAATCGGGTCACTATCTGGATTCATTAGCGGCAACAATTGACACGACCCTTGAGGAGGAGGAGCTCATTGCGGATCAATTGAAAGAATGGCTTTTCAGCGCATCTGCTCTGCAACAAGTTGTACGTCGTAGAGAAGCTTTACAATTAGCGACAGATGAAACACACGATGCGTTACACGCTACTTATGATCAGAAAAATAAAGCAATCCAAGGTAAGTATACATATATAACTCGCTCTTATAAAATTGCAATAACTAATTCTAAACATGTTCAAACTGGTTTTGCAAAATTATTGTAATTAGATTATCGTATATTTAATATTGTTAGTAACTTATATACACTTTTTTTTTCTTTTTAGGAAAATCAAGTCTAATGTCACGGCTTTTTGGCTCAGTGGATACAGAGGATGTTAGGGAATTAAAAGTTGTTCAATTAGAACAAAGGATCACTCAAAATGAAGAAGCAGTGAAAAAAGCTGATGAAAATTTAATGTAATATATTTAATTTCTTTTTTCTAATTTTATTTTATTTATCCAATCATAATTCTATAAATCCTACATTATTTTCATTTAACAGATCATTTTCGAATAAAGCTTTAGAAGACATTGAAAGATTTCAACATCAAAAAGTTATAGATCTAAAGGAAACTCTATCAGCTTACTGTGTTCTACAATTTAAACTTGCTAGAAAGGTATTATTATTATTATTATTACTTTTATTTATTTATTTACACAATGTCCCGCAGTCCAGAAGGACCATAAATTATTATGCAAACATTTGGAATTTAAAATCTATTGTTTTATTGTCTGTCGGTAATGTAGATTTCCCACCGAGTCTAGAGAAATATTCTTTGATTTAAAAAAAAAAATTCTTTTTAAATTAAAGATATTTTTTTATTACATTTTTTTGTAAATTAATAAACAAATTATTTTGTTCAAGAAAAATTTAAATGGTCTTTTTTAGAGTCTACAGTCTTGGCAGCACATTAAAGAATGCCTCGAAGGAATACCGTAAACGACTGCATTAACACAAATTCTAAAAGTACAATTTTCCTAATTAACTTATTAGATCACGTCCATTTTATTGTGTCATATCTATATAAATATAAACATTATACATTCCTGCACTTGAAAATTTTGAGTGTCCAATATTGTTATTTAAGATTTTTTATAACATTATATTGAATTATATTAAATGTCCAATATAGAAAAACTATTAGATAATAATTGTATAAAATACGATTACATTTTGAATTATTTAAACACTGCGTTGTTCACTATATATATATATTTAATTCTTTATTAATATTTTATTATATATATATATATATATATATATATGTATGTAATAATTGTTAAGTATTTATAACCCAAGAGGCCAATTGTAAAATCGACAATTTTTTTTACAGAAAAAATTAATATTAAGAAAGTGGCAATAATTAGACAAACTCCAATCAATATAATTATATATGTACGTATACATATGAATATTAGAACTGAAATATTTTATCAGTTAGAAAAATTTTCTCGTATTTTATTAAATTAAATACCTCATCTCGGTATTTTAGAAAAAAAAAACAAATTTCTTTATTTTTCAAAAACAAATGTAGTTCTCATCAGAAATAAGAATATATTTCAAAAAAATAAATTATAGAGTGCAAAAAATTAAGAAAGAAAAATTATATCAAAAAAAATCTGAATTTCAAAAGAAATTTTAGAAGAAAAACTAATATTTATAGTAAATGTTAATTATAGCAAAATTTTTTTATTAAGTAATAATTTTTTTTGTAACTATACTTTACAAAACTTTGAAAACTATAAAAAATTGTTTTGCATACTAGTTTAAAACAAGTTTCAACAAGTTTGGACGAATTAAAAAATAGTTTGGAACAAGTTCAAAAAGTTTTTTTTATTGATTTTAAATTTGTTCAAAACAAATTTGAACTTTTTTAAGTACACAACGTCAAATAAGTTCAAACTGATTTTTAAAGAATTTCAAACTAGTTCTAACAGGTACACAATCGGTTTTGCACAATTTCAAACTGGTTTGAAACAAATTAGAATTGTTCTTTTTTGCAGAATTCCAAACAAATTCAAAATAGTTTTATTTGATTCTGAACTAATTTGGAACAATTCGAACTGGTTTTTTTTAAGTCGAATGTTAAACTTGTTCGAGACAAGTTCAAACTACTTTGCAAAATTTGAATCTAGTTTGATATGATTTCAAACTAAAGACATTTTTTAAAAAAACGTTTCAACTAGTTTTTTTATAGTACTGAATTAGTTTGGAATAATTTCTATGATTAATTTTCGTAAAAATCAAAATTTATTTTAAGTCAACAAAAGTTAATAAAATTATTATTAAATGTTTTTTAATTTTTCCTCTTGTTAATAGATGAATAAATATTGTTATATTACATTAATTTTTATGTACAAGAAATCACACAAGCAACGTTTTTGTTGTTAGATAGAAAAAATTATTCTAAAAAAATAAAACATTTTGAAAACTATATATTTAGCCTTTAATATTACGAAATCCTTCTATTTTTTTATGTAGAGTTTATTATGGTCAATGTAAATAAAAAAGATCAGGTAACATTTTTTGATTAAATTCTTATGTAATAATAGTATATAGTAAATATGCAAATTGAAAGTATTTAAACTTTAATAAGACTATAATCAGACTAAATTCAAGTTTTATTTCTTTTTTTGTGTATGTAATATAATTTTTTTAAAAATGTAAAAAATTGTAATCTTTTAATGGAAATTGTAATTATACATAATAATTTAATAAGAAATTTACTTTTCTTGAAATAAAATAAAAATAAATTTTTTATAAATAATTAAAAAAAATTATACTACTTTCTATAGGATTATTTTCATATTTATATATATAGTTTTATTTAACCTTCAAAAATAAGCCATTGAAAGTTTCCTACATATCTTTGAAAAAATGACTTTTATCACTAGTCTATAAATAAATTAAAATTTTGCCATGTTTTTCCAACTGTCAAAATATTGAGATAAATTTTATACCCTTTTATTAGAAAATCTGGAAATATCAATAAGGGAAATATATATTTATCTTTTCGTAAATTTAGAAACATGAATGTAAAAATATCCCAAAAATATTCTATAATAATTTAGAAAAAAAGTCAATGTTTATTTATGCTTATTAAAAATAGAAAATTATTAAACAATTGTTTTTTTCAAATTATTTATTACTATGTATGATTCGATAAAAATTATAGTTTCATATTATTTTATTAAAATGATCATTTAATTGACAATAAGAAACGTTTATAATAATTTCATTGACAACCACTTTTTTTAATAGATGTTTTTTCTTATTTTTTTTTTTTATTCAAAAGATAATACTGCAAGTTTTTGCAAAGTATTTCTATCTGTAATTAGTAATACAGCAATTTGAACTATCTTTGAAAAATTATTGGTATACATTAATAATTGATTCCTTGTTTTGCTTTTTGTCTATTAATTTTTTTACATTACAAATTAATAACCAAAGATAAAAAAGGTAATAAATGTTCTATTTTTAGTTACTTTTTAGTATATAAAATATTAATGAATAATTAATTAATGAAATTCTGATGGTTTATATATCTATATATAAATTCAAACTGATTCCACCTGATTTCGAACTAGTTTGGAACAAGTTAAAAATAGTTTTAAAAAATTTCAATATAGTACAGAACAACTTTAAACATAATGAAATTTTTAAACAATTTTCAACTGGTTTGTATAAAATTCCAAACAAGTACAAACTGGTTTTTGTAGAATTCCAAACTAGTTCCGATTTCCGAACAAGTTTGAGATAAGTTCAAACTGGTTTTTATAGAATTCTAAACTATGTAGTTTAAACAGTTTGCTATCGAATGTCAATACTAGTTTAAAATAAGTTTAAACTGGTTCAACATGATTTGGGACATGTTCAAACTGGGTTCAGAATAAACTGCCAAAAGACAATTTTATTATTACATACTTTATTGAAACACAGCCTTCAGTTAAAAGTTCAGTTTTTTCACATTAAATATGTTTGTAAAATTAATTGAATAAATAAATTAAACAACTATACACAAAAAAATGAAAATACTTATATTTCACATTATTTGATTCGTTGTTAATATAGATAGTATAATTATTAAAAACTAAATATAAAAGTCTATTAAAAAAATATTTAACATAAACTCACAATAAAAGAAACTGTTAAATTGTATACTTCTTTCATTAAAAATATATTTCTTAATTATTAAGTTACTTCATATTATAAAAGAAACATCGTCAATAATCAGTTTCATTGAATATGAGTGAAAAAGTTTTATAATTCCTTTGTATATAGTTTAGGTATTTTTTTTTAGCTTTTGAAAAGTTTTTTTTTCACTAACAATGTTCGTTGCTAATAATTTTTTTTTCAAATTGTATTTAACTGCAAATGATGTTGTTTTTAATAGCTTATGTCGTAAGATTAATTTTCTTCTCCTTTTTAAGTTAAATAAATTTTTTTAATTAAAACCAACTCTGTTTATAATGTGCTAGCTTTAATTTAAAAAAATCTTAAATATATTCATTCTAAAAATGTCAACTTAAAGTTTTTTTTCAAATTTAAAAATTACTGAGATAAATTTTTTAATTTCACTTCATATAATGAAAATTACATACAGTTAACAATTTTTTTTCAATGAATATGATTTTCTCGTTTGTTTTAATCACATATTTTATAGACCTTTTAAAAATATATTACACTATATCACACAATAATATATACTTCTAAACTAATTTATGGATCTTTGTCAGTACTTTTTAAAAAAAGGTCAACCATTTTTATTTGGTTTATTTTATTTTTTTTATTTATAATCAGTCAAATTCACTGGAAATTTGTTAAATTAAATTTTTAAATAATGTTTTATAATAAAATAATGTATTTTTCAATAATTTTAATAAAATAATTAATTCAATTATTATTTTATTTATTCCAAGTTTTTAATCGTAATTTAGATGCAATTGTCCAATTTAAAATTGGAAATTTCTACTCTATTTCGTTTAAATGTCGTTGAAGGACTTTTTTATTTCTTTTTATTTAATTATTATAATGATAATAATTTTAATTATTCTCGATTATAATAATGATAATTATTAAACTATAATAATATTATAATTATTATTTCCACAGATTTAGTTAAATTTTAGTAAAATTTTGTAAATATCGGGAAAAATCGTATTACGTTTCAAAACTAATTTTAATTAAAATGGATATGTTTAATTAACTTAATTAAATTTAATAATCTAAAGAAATTCGAGTAGCTTTGGTCAGCAGGCGGCCTCGGTAACTTTTGACTTTGGGTCAAGAGTATAATTAAACTGTTAATCAAAAATTATGAATATTAAAAAAAATCATATTTCTTCAAATATTAACTTATATGATTATAAATTTTCATTATTCGATATATTTGCATTGATGAATTTTCTCTTCTTTTTTTATCAAAAAATAAACATTTTTTTACGATTAAATTGACAAACTTTTAAATTTCAGTGCAAAAATTTAATTTTTTATGCCACATACAAGAGGATTCGAACCCTTGTCCATTGCTTGAGATACCATCGACTTTTCCCCTAATCGAATTACTAGATACAAAAATTATTCAACAAAGTTCTTTTTCTTGATAATAATAATAATAATTATTATTATTATATTATTAATTCTTAGTCTATTCTTTTCAAATTTCATGCTAAAAATGTTAATAAATAAAATAAAATGTTTCCTTCAAATATAAATTTGTCAATATAAAAATAATTTTATTCCAGCAATGAAAAAAAAAAAAAAATTATCAACCTCAATTTCAATGATGTGCATTATTGACTAAAATATTTTTTAGTTTTTATTACTAAAATATTGTTTTCTATTCGAACTATATATCTATATGATAATTAATTATAATTATTGTATAATTATGCGCAATTATAAGTAGACTTTATTTTTACACTAGTCGAAGATTGTTTTCGTTTTCGTTAACTGTTCTTAAATTCACGGAAAATTCATTAAGTGGATTACTTTCGAGAACAATATTGTCTCCTATTGCATTTTGTCCATAAGCTAATCGTCGTTGAACACGAAATGATTTAAAGCCCGGCAACCAATCCAATAGTTTCCACCATTTTTTCGTTGAATCACGAGGCGACACTTTGACAGTTGTTGTAGATGATTTTATTTTTATGGGAAAATGTTCTTCTTTGGTAAATTGCATTTTTTCGCGAACCATAATATTTTCTTGCCATCTTTGATTGTCGTGATTTTTACACGTTTCACTGTTTACAGAAGTGTGTAATAAATTTAATGTTTGATCGGCTGGACACGATTGACTTGTACCAATTTCCAAATTAATTGTATCCTTTGCTTGTTTTTTTAATGACAATAATTGTTCACCGGTTGATGATTCTTTTCCACTACGACCCGAAAATGAGGAAATTCTTCGAAGACTTTCTTCACGTACTGAATTTCCTGAGTATTCTGTACTTTCCTGTAAGAGTATAATTTGAGAAATTGTGTTTTTTTCTTTTCTTCATTATATTTGATTACATTTTTAAAATGTTATCAAATTTTCAGTTAAATGAAATTTTTCTTTTGTGCGTGTAGCAAATTTTTCAGCAAAATTTATTTTTATTAATTCAAAATTTGGTGCGCGCGTGCGCCTCGGTCTACTTTACCGACGGCACATAGATTAGAAACTCACTAGAAAAAATTACTAGGCACACGGAGAGAAAAAATAAGCGTTTGTAGCATGAAAGTTTTATCTTTAAACGCATGGGACATCTGCATACTACGATTGCACGAAGTTATGCTTTTTCGGTATAGTTTTATGCAACTGTAGTATAAGGCCACGCCTCTTAAGCTGGAACGTCCATTCAAAATTAACATAGAGGGCTCCTATACTACAAACCCTTGATTTATCTCTCCGTGCAGGCAAATTAAAATTTAATTACATTCAAAACATAAAAAAAAAAAATTTTTATCACAGTACGTCAAATTTTTACCTGTACAACTCCCGCAGTGCCTGTTGTACCAATAATTTTTGAACCAAAAGTACCAGGAGTCTTTTGTTGTGAGCGTGATAAACTTGAATAAGAGCGTTGCTCCCTTTGAACAGCAAAACGTCGAAATTTACAACCCTTCGCCAATGTTTCCTGTGAAATGATATTTATAAATAAATTTTTCACTTCTACATGACGAATAAGTTAATAATTAATAAATTATTAATAAAAATTGTTATATAATTCTGAAACAGTCGAGATAAGTTTGAATTAGTTTTACAAACTAGTCCCAAACAAGTTCAAATTGGTTTACTAAGATCGCAACTAGTTCAGGACAAGTTTAAACTGGTTTTACTTACTTTCAAACTAGTTTTTAAAAGTTCAAATTTTTTTTAACTATTATTGAAACCAGTTGGACAAGTTTGGAGCATATTTTAAAAATATATTGAAAGTTATGTATTAATTAGTAATGAACTCTTTTAAAACAATTATTATATATTAAATTTGAATGTTTTTACATTGATTTTCCGCTTTAACGAGGAAACAATAAAAATTTCCTTTTGTTCGAGATTGCAAAAAGAAAAAAAAAGAAATGAAAGAATTTCTTTTTATAAAGATATAATACGTTTATATTGTTTTCTGTTTTTGTTTCGTTTTCCAACGACGCAAAAGAGAAAACTTGGTCTCTCTAGCTAAAACTCGTTGAACATTTTTTTCCCCTTTTTCCTTATCGAAGTAAGTGAGTTTCTACTCAATTATATTCAATTTATATTTAATCGATTGATTTTAGGACTTGGAGACGCATCTTATTCTATGTGTCCATATCAAAATTGCGTAATAATGTACTTTCATGTTTGTTTCGATAAAAAATAAAATAAATATGATAAATGAAAAAAAGTTACGAAAATAATAAGAAAATGATTTTCTATTTTTAAATGGCCAATTATATTTCATATCTTGAAAATAGAATTTCATAAAATGATGATACTCAACTTGAAGGAAAGAAAATATACTTAAGAATCTGACAGAAGAAATTGTACTTATCAAAAATATATACAAGACGTTTTTTCTTTTTGTTGTAAATTTATTATTACCATAAATGCTTCTCGAAATTTGTGTGACATTATGTTGTACAGAATTGGGTTGATGGTTGTTGATACGTAGTAGAGAACACCCGACAGATAAGTGAAAAGAAGGTAGAGAAATTCCTCCATCGGTCCTTTAGAACTCACATGATCCTCCGAGTTTGTTCCATAAATTGCAATTAACCTCTGAACGTGAAATGGCGCCCAACAAATGAAAAATGCAACAACCACCGCCACTGTAATTAAATATTTATTATTGTTAATTAGAATAATAATAATAATAATAATAATAATTCGAAATTGGAATGTAATAATTAATAATTATACACATTTATTTTTTACTAGAGAGTAAAACAGATATTTTTAATCTAAAATGGTCCTTTATAACTCTAGGGACTAAAATAGACATTTTTTTAACTCATTATTTATATATATATATATATCCATTTTTTTAACTCAAAAGGGAGAAAAATTGTGAATTTTAACCCTAGAGAGTAAATTAATTAAAAGTCAATATAATAAAATCTTAAATTACTTTTAAAACAATTTAAAAAAAAAAAATTACAAGAAAATTTTATCGCGTTTAACATTGTTTTTTTTATTCTTTCATTACATTTCTCGAATTCATCCGCTGAAATTTATTATTTGAATTTATTTAAATTAGGCAATTAGTAAGCGCCTGGTGAACAAAAAACTTTCATCTCCATCGTTTCTATATTTCAAAAGTAGCATGTAAATTCGACCATTAAAATGAACTGATGAAAGTAAATCCCTTGTGCGGTAAGAATAGAGTTTAAAAAAATATTTACTATATATAATAGTATCATTTTTGAAAATTATCAAATTTTTATTTTGTTATTTTTAATTTAAAAAAGTTAAAGAAAATTTTCCTCTTATTTTTTGTTCATAAACTATTCCTTGATTACTAATTTGAGATTAAAAATAATTTACTTATTGTCAATTAATTTAACTCGTTAGAATATAATTTAAATAATAATTTATATTGATACTAATAAAAAATGATTTTATTTTTTAATTTTATAATTCGCTATATTTTCAATTGAAATTTGAATATTTTGAACTTTTTCAAGCACTGTTTAATAAATAATATTTTTTTATTAAAACTGTCGTAAAAAATCACCAGGAATAAAAATAATATTGATGATTATCCATCATAAAAACCACCCTGTTTTGCGCATCGGATAAGAAATACGTGCTCAGTTTTATTGATGTATGAAACATTTCGTGAGTAATACATTTTTTTAAACCTTCAAATTTCTCAAATATATGCTTTTTTTATTGTAAAAATTTGAAAAAAAAATTTTCAATCATAAAAATTTATTTTTCTTAGAGAAAATATGTCAAAAATATATTCCGAAATATTTCCAGACAAATTCGAATTCGTTTCACATGATTTCAAACTGGTTCAAGAATGGTTTGTACTGTTTTTTGAAGAATTCTTAATTGCTTTCGAACAAGTTCAAACTACTTTTGGATAAGTTCGAACCAATTTTTATTGGATTCGTAACTAGTTTCGAACTAGTTTATAATATTATTTTAAATTAATTTTGAACAAGTTCAAAGTAGTTTTACAAAAAATCTAACTGGTTCTGGAAAAGTTTTAAAGAATTTTCATATAGAATTCCAAACTAGTTTCAAACAAGTTTGAACTGGTTTTACATGATACTGAGTAGTTAGTGACAAATTTATAAGAGAGTTTTTTTAAAAATAAAATTCTAAACTACTTTCGGACATGTTAAGTTAGGTTAAGTTTAATTATATTCAAATTTATAAAATTGTTTTCTCTAGCAGAAGTAATTTATCCTGACTCTGATGATAATTTTCAATTGATTAATTATTATTTTCCATTTGACGTCAAATTAAACGTTTTATTCGGAAAATCTCGGTCACGGAATTATTTTCGTTTCTTTTGTTTACTAATAATATTAACCTATACGTGGCATTGTTACGTCGACTAAAATGTTAATTACTGGGGAAAAGTTCTGAATATACAATATAAACGGAATTTTATAAATTAATTCGTTTATGAAAAAAAAAAAATTTCCATTTTTCTTTATAACAGAGAACTTTATAAATTAATTTTTTGTTTTTTTTAACAATTTTTTTTTGTATTTATGAAGATTATATTTGATTTAATTTTTTTTTCTTCGTATTATATTACAATCATTCCATTTAACTTAATTTTCATTTAAGGTATATACTTTGACAGTTGAATTATTTATATGTCATCTTTTTCGTATTTTCATTATCATTTTAAATACTTTTTTTTTTAGGCTATAAGCATTTGATTTATATTTCATTCATTGTTTATTACTACCTATTTATTTTGATTCATTTAATTTATTTTCATTTTTCGTATTTTTGCTGACTTTATTATTTTATCACATTATATACATATAATTTTTTTTATTTATTCTTTGTAATATTTTGTTCAGATTTATTAAAAATGGCGAGAAGATTTTGTGGATTTTATTTTGCTAATTAACTAGCTTGAATTGAGTCGTCACCGTAAAAAAAAAGATATAAAATATGACATTTTCTTAGTCTAATTAAGTAAACTGAACCCCGTTTCCTTCCAAGTTGTCGCGTAATATGAGAAAAATATTCGACTCAACAGAAAGTAACTTATATCGATAATGTGAAAATAAAAAAAGAAAATAATTATTTAGTTCAATAAATTAAGAATTAAAATTTCTTTTTAAATAAGAAACATTCACATTATATTATAAAATATATTTAATTAAATATACTGAATTAAAAATAAATAATTGCAAAATTATTTAAAGTAAACAAATAATGAATATAATGAATAAACATGAATAAATTGACTATATTGTCATGTAATATGTTAATTAAACTGGATCATAATAATTTTTAATTCAATTATATATAAGTTCGATGTGTACAACTATTGTAACTAGATGTATAATAATAATAAATATTAATTGAAATCCATGTTGCCCAGTGTAATTAACCTTTTATCATTTTTCAAAATCTTTGACAATTTTTTTTTCGTCAAATTATATTCAAAAGAATGAAGAACGACAATAAAAAAAAGAGAAACACGTCTGGCAATGATGTGCATCATTGAAAAATCATTTTTCTACAAATCGTTAATCACGTGTTTGATACGCGATTTAATAAAAAAAAAGTATTTTAAAATTATAATCGACAATATATGAGGAAAACTTTATTTAGAATATTGAAAAAGGAATTTTTAATTTTATTAGTTTTTATAATTAAAGCTAATTTAATTGGTTTAGAAATTAATTAATTTTTTACAATTTAATCATATATATTAAGGCAGTTGTACAATTATTATTTAGTTATAAAATTTAAATGAAAATATAAATATAGCTGAAATGTAAATAAAATTTTTATAACGGTAATTATGTGAAAGTAAAAAATAAAAGAACCACCGAAGTACTTTTCATTAAAATGTTTGGAGAATGAACTTAATTAGATTGAGATCTTAAAGAAGAAGCAAAAAAAATGTGGGATTTATTGCGCCTTTTTATTCACTTTTACAATAATTATAAAAATGTTCTTCTAATTATATTTAATATTTAATTACTGCTTTGAATCACATAATTTCCAACAAATTCAAACAAGTTTTACATAATTTCGAACTAGTTTGAAATACGTTCAGACATGTTTCATCTAGTTTGAGGTAGTTCCCAACTAGTTTGTAATATTTTATTTTTAGCTAGTTTTGTGCTATTTAGATCTAGTTTCGAACAAATTGTAACTAGTTCAAACTAGTTTTATACAATTATAAACTAGTTTGGCTCATTTTTCAAACAAGTTTAAACTAGTTTTTATGCAACATTCCTTTAGAATTATTCCAAACAAAAACGTTGTTATACAATAATTCCGAACTATAGTTTGAAACATGTTCTTATGTTTTATCTTAAATTAAGATAATTCCTAACTATAGTTTAGGAAAGTTTTAAATAAATTTAAGATACTTTTATGAAATTTTAAACAAGTTGGCACAATTTTTAACTTTGGTTTATATATTATTTAAACTGCTTTTAGTTTAAATTTAATTAAGTTAAAATTTGTTTTATTTTATGTTTACAAACTAGTATGGTTTAATGTTTTAATCAAGTTTTAAATTACTTTTAAACAATTTCAAACTAAATAAAAATTAAATTTATGAATATATCTTCTTTGTATATTCTATTAAATTGTACACATCATTTTTCAGTAATTTTTTTTATTTCTTTGAATAAAAAAATATTAAACAAACCAAAAAAAATTTCACCCTTCAAAAAAAGAAAAAAGAATTATGCCACATGGATAATTCACTTGAAAGTCTTGTTCATAAAATAAAAAAAAAAAATAATAATAATGACGCCTGGGGATACATCAGTGGAGTTAAAGTAAAACTTATGGATATTAAAACAGATGAAAAATCTGTCAGAAATATGCTTACAATGGGTGCAAAAGAATTAAAACACATTAAATTAAAAAAATTTATTTTTCAACAACAATTTTAAAAAATTTAATTAATAGACAAGTTAATAATAATAAAATAAAAATAGTAGTGCGTAAAAGTATTTTTTTTTACTTTTTTTAAAGTAATTGTTTCTAAAATATTTTAAATTGTTTGTATATAAAAAAAGTGTAAAATGTTCAAAATATTGATGGAAAATAGGTGTTTGCTTCCATTGTTTGAAGAAGATTAATGAGAGCTTTAAACGTGTTTCTATATAGTCATATCGTGCATCTAGCGTGAAAATTACGTAAAATGCGAATCAATATTCGCGACGTTGACATAAAACTTGAAAATTTATTCCTACTTTTCATATCGACAAGTCGAAAATGATTTCTCTGTTTTCGCATTTCTTTATAGAAAGAGAGAGATGCGATGAATAAAAGAAGTGCTTTTACATTATATTACTCGAAATTCGCAAATGATAAACTTATTCCCACATTTCAAATTTTTAATTTATATAAACGATGTATATTTAATTTCCCTCTTGTAAAAATATTTGGAAAAAAAATTTCCAAATTAATTAAATGAATTCACTAATTAATTATCATTTGAATAGTTTTATGTTGAAAGAATCCACTTAATTGAGAAAATTTTCATTGTTCACTCATGAATTTATTTTTAAAATATTTTAAAATTATATTATACTTTTACAATTTCAATCTATAATAATAATTACTTAATTAGGGTGTACATATATTATAACGAGTTACTAAT